CCGACTGGTTCTCCCAGGTCTCGTGCATAGATGTCTGGCTCACCTGCGACAAACTGGTGCATCCAGAATTTGACAGAGCTAACTGCAGATCCTTCTCTTTTCACTAATAGTACCTCTGCATATTCTGTTCATTTGTTGGGATGCCACCTGTAAGTTTATTAGAGAAATTAGCCGACATGTTTGTTTCTGTGTACTGTATGTATGTGATGTAAACGTGTATGCGACGTGAGCAGATCTGACCAGAGTTTTGCGTCTTGGGCAGTGTAGACAGAAATGCTACGGCGGAGCGTATTCAACTTTTCCACTCTGGAGGGTGGTTTCAGATTTTTGCGTTTTCATGCCCCAAAAACGCCGTCACCGTCTAAACCAAAGGCACTTCCGATAAAATATTTTGTAGTTTTTACCCTCAAGTGTTCTCATGTAAACAAGCCCTTAAAACTGTGCATTGCATCTACCTTTGACATCACAACCTTGGGAAATCTCAAATGGAGTGTTTGGTAAGGCCATAGACGGTACAGAGAAAAAGGATTTTTTACACAGAATAACAAACTAGCATGAATTACATGAAACACAACTTCAGGTATGTTTTTAATGAGGGTGTGATGTGTTAGCATGGTTAAAAACTCAAAAGTCAATTTAGGATCATGTGTGTTCTTTAATTCTGCAAATAGAAGCTGTTCAAGTTTTATGCGTAACAGGCCTAGTAGGAGCCTCGAGCACTGTATTAAAATTACACTCACAGTCAGAACACATCATCTCTCATAACATGTAATATGTTTTATGACTTCAACTTTCCTTAAAGCACATGTTCTCGAAATCCAATGTACTTAACCTTATCCGTGTAACAGAACATAGCCATTCCTATGAGGCCCATTGACTCTTTGCAGTGATTACATTTGTTATATAAGCGAAGTTATGGCATTTCTCTGAGGAAACGTAATATTGAAATTCACACGGAGGTCTGTATACACCCAGCCCTGCTAACGGTGTTCTCCTCACCATAGCATTTCATTCGCCACGGTTAGCTCAGCTCAATAAACACAGCTCCTGTAGGTGAGAAGGATCCCCTGGTACATGAGTCTGTGTAAAGGTACTTTTATTAGGTACAATCAAATATAGGGTATTACCAGTATAATGTTAAATAAGGCGTTTCTGGATTGGTTGTGAATTCTGACAGTTATTTTTAATATAGAGCAACACCTTGTAGAGTTATAATGAATGGGATATTAACTGTTGCTTTCATTCAGGCTTCTCTCTGTTGGGTATAGCACAGACTTTCTAATACTGCCATTGTTCCCTTGAGCAACACTTAACTTGCCTGGTCTTCAATTTCTGTGAACATGGCTACGTGAACGTGAAAGTACATGAGGGAAGAGTTCTTAATTTAAAGTACAAAAATTGGATCAATATGAGCTGAAAATAGACTCAGAATTAAAGGCGCACTATGGGACTTTCTTGAGGAAACACGACACCTGCAAATTACCATGGAAATAGAAAGCTAAAGCAGACTACGGAACAGTCTCCATGGACATAAATATTTTTTATGACATACTATGAAACATTATCGCAAAAGGAACAACATGTCCATAGAAACAGGCAGGAGATCCTCCTCCAGCCCAAAAGCCCAAAAAGGAGTAAGGTCTGTGGAGATGCAAGCCTGCTCACAGTAAGGAAGTTTTTTCAGTCCAATAATAACACCCAAACTGTAAAAAAAAAAAAAAAAACATGCATTTTTGTCTATTTTAGCTTTTTTTTTTTATGCCATAAATGCTTAAAACGAGTCTGGCAGTTTATAGACTTAAAAACTGTGCATGATATCTATCTATGACATCACAATCCTGGAAAATCTCAAATGGAGTGTTTGATGAGGCCATAGAATGTATTCAGCTTTTCCACTCTGGGTGGTTTCAGATTTTTTTAAGCCCCCAAAAATGCCATCATGTCTAAACAAAAGGCACTTCCGATAAAATATTTTGACGTTTTTCCCGCAAGCGTTCTCATGTAAACAAACTGTGCATGGTATCTATCTATGACTTCACAATCCTGGGAAATCTCAAATGGAGTTTTTGGTGAGGCCATAGACTGTACAGAGGCAAAGGACTTTTTTACAGAGAATAAACTAACTTAAACTAGCGTGAATGACGTGAAATACAGCTCCAGGTGTATTTTTAATGATGGCGCAATAGATATTCTCGCATGGTTAAAAACTCAAAAGTCAATTCAGCATAACATGTATTCTTTTTGTTCATAAACTGCATTTGTCTATGTGATCAAGAGACCAATCTACAACTTCCACTCTCCAAATCCTGCAATTATTAGAAGACTAAATAAACTTGCTTAGATATGAACGCCATATTCATATCTTCCTTGAGCGACCAAGCCAAACAGCCATGCCCAATCAGCCCCGCCCCCTCACCCACCAGGCAGTTGGCACTTGTTAACCTACAACCATACCCTGGCGATAACATCCCATATTCTCCGTGTGCATGTCGGAAAACCCTTGCGGCACCGCTGGCACGCCGATTATGCTAATGCTTTAATTATTCAGGAGAGATAATTAGCCTATGATAAAATCGCTCTGATAATGGAGGGAGATACCTGGACGCGGAGAGCAGAATGAAATACAATTACACTTTCATTATTTGTCTTTGGGAGAGAATAAGAAATCTAATATGTGATTAAAGTATCGTTAGCAAAAACAATCCAGAGAAGCCATGAGTTTTATTATTAAAGCCGGATAAAAATCTATTGGAGAAACTAAATACAAATTGGTTCGTGGGTTTGTAGTCAGATTGGATTTTCGGTGGGTAAAACTGCAACAGAGCTCTTATGTCATACTAATCATTGCAATACGAATAAAAAGTTAATTTTCGCAATCACAAGTTTTGATAAAGTATGTTTTTGTTCATTTACTCATATCTATTTCAGTTCTTCATTTCATAACACTTTTTTTTCTTTTCCTTTGCACTTATTAAAATAACTAACGATGATCATAGCCATATTTTTTGACTATAAATCACACTTTTTTTCATGGTTTGGTCCTGCGACTTATAATTTGGTGTGACTTATATGTTAAAATTTTCACACTGACAGCCATGAGAGGGCGCACTAGGCTTGTGTACTCCTGTATCACTGTCACTTTGCACTCACACTTGTCTGGGATCATGTCAGTCGATCACACCATTGTTTCTGTATCACTGACAATTTAAGCAAACATAAAGACAATTGAAACCATCCTGTCAGGATTCAGAAAGGCCGGAATAATTCTAAATGGAACTGATGCTGAGTCTGATGACAGCTATGCAGAAAAGGAAGTGGTGCTCCATTTACCACCGGATGTTGTGGAGTTGCTCATAAGTGACACAGAGGATGAAGATTTCAATGGATTTAGTGATTTGGAGTGAGATGGAGAGTTTGGTAAATGTTCTGTTCTGTTGTTTATTCTGAATAACAGTTCATATGTGACATTAACAGTCTGTTCTCTGTTCTATTGATATTACTATAACTTGATTTTCAAGATGAAATGTCAGTTCCTGGTCTCTGATTTTATAAAATACATTTCCCCCAAAAAGTGTGACTTATAGTCCAGTGCGACTTATATATGTTTTTTTTCTCCTTCATTATGCATTTTTTGACTGCCCTGACTTACACTCCGGAGCGACTTATAGTCCGAAAAATACAGTACTCATGTTTCATACTACACCAAAGTACCCAGTGTATGTATTCAACAGGTAAGTCTTGATCATCTTGTCAAAGCATCTTTAGCATCTAGTTCCAAGAAAACGTGTACACTTAGAGTAAAAATCTGATAACTAAAATACTAAAATAACCCAATCATTCGATCAGACTTTTGTGAGTTAAAAGTGCATTGTGCAACTTTTCTGGTGAAGGTTCTTCTAGATGTTATTGCTTTGTCCGAAATGTTTAACACTATGAAATTAAACCTTTCTATCTTCATGGAGATCAAACCAGACTAAGTTACAGATCAGATCTGTGGACAGGTAACCCTACCTTGTAAGTTTGAGCTGTAAGACCACCTGTATTTGAATAAGTAAGGTAGAGCTGTTTAATGGCATACTGTGGAATATTCCAGACAGAGCAATGGCATCTCCATAGAAACAAGCAGGTGATGGACCCCCAACAGAAGAGTTAATTTGAAGGAACAGTGTACAAAGACATACAGATCATAAAAACAGAGATGCTCCGCTCTAGATTACTGCTAAATAGTCAGTTTCCATCTGCACTTGGAAGACAAAGCGCAACGAAATTACTTTTTCAGTCTATTTTGTCTTTCCCACATTAGTTAGTCAGTTTTGGCACAATTTCCCTTGTCAAAACCTGCACATGTGCGAACAGTTACAAAGAAATCAGATTACTCACATCTAATCTAAGTGTTTACGTGTATTTCCATAATCTGATAACTCTCCAAATCAGATAACGATCACATTGTTGGTGGACATGTAAACATAGCAACTGTCAGGGTGGGAGTTAGAATAGCCTAAACATTTTCATGAATAATTTTGGTTGACAACAAGAAAATCTGAGCATGAGGTCCACACAGAGTTGTCTACGTGAGTAAATATGGTACCAAAAGTTCAAGTATTAGTACCAGTATAACAAAAACGTGTACTTCAATACAGTGTACAATAGATACACTTCACTATAGCTGCATTTCTATCTAGTTATGCATACTGATCTCATGATTTATAAGTGAAGTCATTGTCAAGAAGAAGAGTCTCATTTCTCTTTCCTCGCTTCCTTCTCCTTGATTCCTTTCCTCAATCCTCTATTTTTCAGTTGTCAATCAAATGTGTCATATTAAGTGTTGTCCAAGAAAACCACAGAATGAAGAAGTAAACATGAGGAAGTTTTCAGGAGGACAACATCAGAGAAAAAAATCAAACTGGGGGACTTCCTCCCTCGTTTCCTGCAGAATCATGGAGAGGATGGAAGCGAGGAAAAGAAACGAGTCGTGGCCGAAGAAGAACAAGAAGCCTTACCCTAAGTTTCTCATAGCGATCACTCAGTGCTGCCACCTGATGGTCACGGTGCCTCCCCACCAGCTTACACAGCGAACAGATGAGCTGATCGTCCGTCACACAGTACATGTTCACCTTCTCCTCCTCATGCTCCAGACACTGTAACCCGCGGAGGTGCGAATCCGGCATGGGCTCTATCAGTCTGTGCCCGGTGAAAGGCTTCTTGTTGGGGTGCGTTGCTCGTAGGCACTCCTCGCAGTACGACACCTCGCATGTCACGCAAGTCTTCACCGCGTCCTGGGGAGGGTCCTGCTCGCAGAACTGGCACTGCACGGGCTCCGGGGGCGTACCGGGACTGGACATCGCCGCGTTCACCGGTACCAACGCGAAACGATTGCTCCCTTCTTCCGTGGGAGAGTTGGGCCCGCTGTGGGGAGCTGGTAACGCCAGCGGCAGTCCAGTTGACGAAGACGCTCTCTGAACTCTGTCTATGATGTTCTGCAGGGTTACGTTCCTTTTCAGTCCTTCCAAACCTCTCTCCGGACTCAAGGAGATGACATAGCGGCAGGTGGGGCACTGGAATGCACTGATTTGGTGGACGGATTCGTTGGTGGCGCAGTGGGAGACCAGGATTCGATGGGCGCAGCCGAAGCAGAGACTGTGGGCGCAAGGGAGCAAGAGCGGGTCTTCGAAGAGCTCCAAGCAGATAGGGCAGGTCAGTTCAGACTCCAGCGCGTCCATGCTGAATCAGAACAGGAGGCCGGGTGGAACCAGGCGCACAGTCAGCGAAAACCAGGAGAGCCTCTCAGCTACCTGTGGAAAGAAAAAGAAGGTTTGGGATTAGGGCCTGTTTATACAAGAACACTTGCGGGTAAAAACGACAAAATATTTTATAAGAAGTGCATTTCGTTTTGACAGTGACAGCATTTTTGGGGCTTAAAAACGCAAAAATTTGAAACCACCCTCCAGAGTGGAAAAGTTGAATACGCTCCGCCATTGTGTTTCCGTCTACACTGCCCAAGACTGCCCAATCTGCCGAAACTCTGGCCAGATCTGCTCACGTCGCCTATGCGTTTATGTCACATACATACAGTACACAGAAACAAACATGTCAGATGGCAAGCATACCCAATCAAATTCCACATACTTTTGCGTCACCGTATGCGTGCAGATTTTCTCCCGAAAACGCTCGTCTAAACACGGAATAAAAAGTGAAGACGCGATGCCACTTTTGCATCTTCTGTTCAGACCATCATCATAAAAGCATCTATAAAAACCTCAGACAGCTGCATAGATTCAAGACTGTATTCTAGGGATGGGTGATTTGACAAAAAATATGTGTTTGTATTCTCATTGATCAATCATGTTTTGTTTTTCTATCAGTTTCCTAAACATAAGCCATATAGACTTTTAAAGGTGCACTGTGTGACCTTTCTGGTGGAGGGTCTGCTACCTAGTTGTTTCCATGGAGATGTTATTGCTTTGTTTTGCTGAAATGTTTCAAAGTATGAGATTAAAGTTATCGATCTTGCATTTATTTAATTAGATTTGTTTTGAGTGTTTCGCCTCTCCACAGATCTGACCTGTAACTTAACCTGGTGACATCATTTGCCATACTGTAGGACGTTCCAGACAAAGGAATAACATCTCCATAGTTGCGGACTCTCCATGAGAACAGTTACTCAGTGCACCGTTAATAATCACAGAAATAAATGTCAAATTTCTTCCTCCAAAGTCTGAACTCTGCTTCAAACTGACACGCTTTTACTGACAGAGGATTGGCTATCGGCCTCTTAATTAAAATCACAGCGTTGATAAGTAGTGATTTAATTTCAATCTTGATTAAAATGAGAAAAATTGCACAGTCTTTACTGTAATGTTACTTAATTTCTATTAGCCAAATCACAAAATACTACTAAACTTCCAGTTAAGAATAATTTTCTTCTGACCCCCATTGGCATCTCCCCCTCTCTACTGCAGCAGCACAACCATCTCCTCCTCTTCATCACCAGTGTCCAGGTACCAGAAGAGATTTCCCTTCATTCCAAAGCTAAGCCTCAAAGTTTATCCATTCAAAAAAAACTATTAATGAAACTATTTTGTCTTTCCTGTAGAATTCTTCTTTTCTAGTGAAAGCTCACAGTATTCCTCAATAGAATAATGGATTTAAAAAGGTGAAGGGACATTTTTAAGTCAAATTCAATGTGAAAACTGTAAATAAAAGAATTCAAATCAAAAGTCAGGGCTTAAATCTTCTCTCATTTTTTGAAACAGCCCTCAACCAAACCAACACAAAAGACCAATGGTAAAAAGAATTTCAGAAATTCATGGAGGTGCGGAAACGAGAAATGCGAGGCCAACCAAAAGAAAGAAAGAAAATTATTAAAAACCCACTTTCTGAACTCTAAAGCGCATCAAGTCTTCATTATTAACTTACAAAAACAATCAAATAATGTCAGGGTAAGTCAAAGAAAATGAATCACACAATGAATCAACTAAATCTGTACATAAGCTGCATTTCTGTAGAGTTAGGGATAATGATTTCATGGCCTAGTAAAGTAAATTCATATCCACAATTAGAATACATATTTATCTTATGCAATGGGGCCTAGTACATAACATTCTATACTGACATTGACAATAATATGTTTAAATAGGACACCGCAGATTTCACAGGTTAAACTCTGACGACCTCAATAGCATTAGTATATTAATGTTAAACAAATGAATATTGGATGTACATTTCATTTTGACAGTGGTGGAAGAAGTACTCAGTTTAGTTACTTGAGTAAAAGTACAGATACGAGAGCCAAAAAAAAAAAAACTCAAGTAAAAATATGACATGAAAAAACCTATGCAAGTAAATAAAGTACTAGTTTAAAAATGTGCTTAAAGAGTAAAAAGTAAAAGTATTTTGCGTTAATAAAGATTCAAATGTAGTGATTTTGATGAAGATTTGTGCTGAATTTTGTTCAACAGAAACTTCAGACAGAAAATGTATAGTTTTTTTTTTTTTTTTTTGGAGCTCTGTTTATTTTTGTATATTTTTGTTTGCTCAAATTACAGATATGTTAAAAATAAATCAGCAGGTTTCACACAATCATAAAACAAATATATTTACTTAAAAAAAATGTAGTAAAGTAGAAAGTACAGATACTAGGGATGTAACAATAACTGAAATACCGTGATATCGTATCGTCAAAGTTCTCACAATAATATTGTGGACCTGCACAATATATCGAATTACAAGTCTCTTTGCTTAAATTAAGAGTTATGGTGCAGCAATAGCTTAAAAAAAGACAGAGGGAACTACATAGACCATGATCCTTTGCTCCATTTCAGTGTAGATTACAAGAAGAAATAACAGTTCTAAACACTTTTAAGTCTTATTTCTTTGGATTAAGTCTTGTCAAGGCATTTTAAGAGGAAAATGTAGCATATTAACAACTCCTACAAAATATTGTAATAAATATCGTACTGTGAGATGTATATCGTAAAAATATCGTCCCGAGAGATTTGGGTATTGTTACGTCTCTACATTGTTACACCCCTAACAGATATTGATTTTCAAATGTAGTAAAGTAAAAGTAAAAAGTACTCACTTAAAAATGTTTTTAAGCAACATACAGATACCTCAAATGTAAACTTAAATACAGTACTTTTGCTTTGTGATGTACTTTTAATTTTGCAGTGGAACTTTATTGCTTGCTTGATGCATTGTTTCTGATCTTACAATATAAGTTTGAATCCAAAACTATAAATACAATATACAATTACTGCATTAATTTATTTGAATGTTAATGTTTAAATATTTGAATGTTCAACTTGAAATATAGAAGTATGTATCTTTGAAAATCTTGGCCATGCAGTAAAAGTCCATGGACAGTTTTTTTCACCAGATGTCACTGTTTGCTGAGCTTTAGACCCTCGGTGCACTAACCCTCACTATCTCTCTCCCTAGTCATTCACTCTCGCTCGCTCGCCCTTATGCATGAATTCCCATCATCCTTTGCTAAAATGGCTTCACCAGATAAACCACTCGATGAGCACTTCACCGTTCGAGCCCTTTGATATTTGGAGACAGATAAAATTCGTTTGTGCGTCTGTAAAATGAGCAAAGAGAAATAGAGGAGACGGAATATTTTTGACATTCAGAACCAAGCGTATTTGACATCCTATTTTAAAATATATGACAAGTCTTTTGCAAAGCTTTTCAAATAAGCAAATGTCTGAGAATGATCGGCATTGGAAGAATGTGAATGCAATTTTAGCATCGTCAAAAACACAAAAGCCTGAATTAAAGTTCGCTGTCTGGATAGTCAATAAGAAAATAAAATGGTAACTTATAAAAGAAAAATGCAACAAAAACAACAAGACTTGAGGTAACTTTTTGGTCGGTTAGGGGTCCGTCACCTGCTTGTTTCTATGGAGATGTCATTGCTTTGTCTAGAATGTTCCACAGTATGACATTAATCAGCTCAACCTTAGATTTATTACATTAAAGTTCGGTTTAGTGCTGAAAAATACCTACAAAAACAAGCATTCTGATTGTGAACAGGGTTGCCTCTCCACAGATCTGACCTATAACTTGGTCTAGTAAGTGTGAAGATATAAAAAGTGAAGATAGAAAGGCTCAAAAAGTTACACAATGCATCTTTAATTTGAAACGCTTGAAATACAACTACATATTGATTCTGATAAAGGCTCTGTTGATGTTACTGATTTAACCGGAATGTTCCACAGTATGGCTTTAAATGTATCTAGTCAGATACAAGACACAAGACAGTGGCGAGATGAGGCCAAGTTACAGGTCGGATCTGTGGAAAGGAGACCCGGCTAATAGTAAGAATGAATGTTTTTCCATGGATTTCATTGCAATAACACTTATAACTGAATAAACAATAAATGCAAGATATATACTATTAAAGTTTTACAGTGGAACATTTCAGACAAACTTTTTCATGATATTCTAATTCTTTTTTTTTTTTTTTGGATATAAACATGATTTTAATGATAATATAGCTTGCATTTATTTGATTCCAGGTGTTTTTATCACAGTGAAGTCCCTGAAAAACTTGCATTCTTACTATGAGCAGGGACTCCTTTTCACAGATCTGACTTGTACTTGGTCTAGTCGGTCTGAAGTTATAAAGAATAAAGATAGAAAAGCTGAAAAAGTTGCACAATGCATCTTTAATTTGAAACATGCGAAATAAAACTTAATTTTTTATTCTGATAAAGGCTCAGTGGATGTTACTGCTTTAACTGGAATGTTCCACAGTATGGCTTTAAATGTATCTACGGCATGCACACAGATACAGTGGCGAGATGAGGCCAAGTTACAGGTCGGATCTGCGGAAAGGAGACCCAGCACGCCCACAGTAAGAATTGATGTTTTTATGGGATTTCATTGAGATTACAACACCTATAATTGAAAAAATAATAAATGCAAGACACATACTATTAAAGTTTTACAGTGGAACATTTCAGTAATTCTTTTTTTGGATATAAACATGATTTTAATGGTAATATAGCTTGCATTTATTCCATTCCAGGTGTTTTTATCGCAGTGAAGTCCCTGAAAAACTTGCATTCTTACTATGAGCAGGGACTCCTTTTCACAGATCTGACTTGTCTCATGGCATCACTGTAGCAGGTAGCAGACCCACCAGAAAAGTTACGTAGAAGATTTGAACCCACAACCTATTTACAAAGCGGCACCTATAGCGCTTTTCCACTTCAGAAATGTGTGTCTCTTAACTCAAATAAATCCACCTCTCACATAACACGAAACTATTCCAAACTTTTGCCAC